ACTTCCTGACAGTTAGAACAATTAACCAATGGAACAACCTGCCTCCAGAAGTGGTGAATGCTCCAACACTGGAAGTTTTTAAGAAGAGACTGGACAGCCGTTTGTCTGAAATGGTGTAGGGTTCCTGCCTGGGCAGGGGGTTGGACTCGATGACCTCCAAGGTCCCTTCCAACTTTATTATTATTATTATTATTAAAATAAATCAGTAGAATACTAAAACCTTGAGACAGATACCACTTTTTATATGTTGTTTTGATATTTAGCTGTAACCTTAGCCAAGTCAGAAATGTAAGTAATCATACACATATAATTCAGTAATGTAGCAACCGTTATAAATATAAGCCAGTTGCCAAGCATCTGGATTTTGATCATGTGACCACAGGGCTACTGCATTGGTAGTGTCAAAAACTGTTATAAGTAACTTATTTCAGTGCCATTGTAACTATGGTTATTAAATGAATGGTTGTAAGTTGAAGACTATCTGTAGAAGAAACTCAGCTATTCCTTCCAAAATGTGTTGTAATCCTATATTTACAAAGGCAGAATTGGTGAAAGCTAGACTAAAATGTTCCTATTCCAGCAAGGATTGGAAAGTAGATTTAAGTTGAACAAAAAAACCACTTGGAGAAAATCTATCCATATAATCACTAGGAAGTGACACATGATTTGATAGCAACCAAACAATTTCTATTTTTATTGATTTAGACCAAATACGTACTGTCAGTTTATTTCATGTACACACACATTTTATTCACTATCTTATTTAATCTTCAAACAATTTCAGCATTTTTTATTTGAAATGATAAAGAATGGCAAATCAGGTAACAGTCATTTCCTAATTACATCTTGTGTCCTTACAGTCCAGAGCAAAGTTAGGTATTTATTTTGCTGCCAGGATAACCTGTCCTGCTTCAAGTTTCAATCACAGGCACGTAATTGCTGTGGAGATTAGCAATTTTACTTCAAGCCTGAAGAGATAAAACAGTGACCAAAAATGTAACCATACCAGAAACTTGCCTGAAGTGTTTGCTTTAACAGGAGAACTTAGAGGTTTAGGATTTCTTACACAAATAGGACTCCCCCTTGTCCCCTTATAAAACAGTTGAAAATATTTGCTATTAGAAGGCAAGATAGTATTGAAGGTGGTATTTCCTGGAATTATTTTCTTCTTCAAAAGAAAGGAAAATTACCCTGGGACTTTTTTTATGAGACAACTCAACAACTCAGTTGTTCATCATTATGTATCAGCTTAAAATTACTTGATTTCCTGTTATATTGGAGAAAAATATTTTCAGTGAAATATTTTCAGTGAACACTTTCAGTAAAAATCATAGTTAGTAACTAGCTCATTGGCTTAGCTATCCACATTTTTTCCTCACATAGATGTATCAGATCAGTGTTTTTCAACCATGGCAATTTAAAAATGTGTGGACCGGCTGAGGAATTCTGGAAGTTGGTCCATATTTGTTTACCTTATTTATCATTTTGTAACTTGCTGAAATTTCATCCAGTTCATAGTTCATTTTGTTGTCCAGTATCATACATTTCAAGCAAGATCCTTGGTCTCCATGACCAGAAAAATAAAAAATGTAAACATTGCTTTTTAAGAAACAAAGTGATCATCAAAAGGAATACTTAGTTGTGTGTTTTTCTTTAAGTAGAAATGCATGATTTCTCTAGAAAGAAACTGATACTAAGCATACTATATTTGTACATTTCTTGCAACTGTTTTTCTGCGGTTAAATATGCAGACAAGGGATTTTCAGAATTAATGGAAATATTTGGGACACCAGATGTAGAATTTAAGTTTTACAAACAACCCCTACACCAGATAATTAACTAACAAGGTAAACTTTTTTTGTAGAAATCTGGATTTTGTTAATGGAGAATTTCCTGAGATTCAGGAAGATAGAGAAAGGGAATTTACTTTTTCTGTGACTATATAATGTCTAAGAATTTTTTGATTTCAGCCCATTTCTTCAACATAAAAAATAGTTAGTACACACTTTAATCTAGCATCATTTACTGTTCCTTTATTAGTTTGCCTGAGTCCTTTGGAGCAACTGATATTTTCCAGAGTATACAGCTTAATATTATGTAAAATGTGGGCCATGACCAACTAATGTTACTCTTGCACATGGGAATCTGAACTTAACTATGTACAAGACGTACAGGTAGATTGGATATACAGACCAAGAAGGTTTGGAAAATGTGCAAAATAAGTATTAGATTATTTGAAGTTCAGAGTGCTATCCTGTTCATATACCATGAACTAATTTGTTTAAAGGGAGAGCAGGTTTAGTAGAAAGTACCGGTAGGTTAATTACTATAGTTCATTTAATGCAGCCAGTAATTACTAAACACCATCAATTGTGCAAATAAAATAGGTAGTTCTTGAACTGAACTCTTTTATATTTCAAAACATCAATACATAATGCTATAGTTTCTAAATCACAGACAAGCCAATTATATACAATCTGTATCACTTCTGAAAAGCAAAAAACACTCTGCTACTAGTTTGTATATCTCTTTAATCATTCTCAAAGAAGGCTATCTGCGGTTCTGTATAAAAGTGATTCCTGAACACACTCAATGTTCAACCTGAAGTACTGGCTTGTATGCAAATTCCTAAACCTACTTAAGACCAAAATTATGACCATCTTTGACAACCTCCAAAAATCAGTTCCCAGTTTTGTGGCAATCTGGCAGTACAGCTGGTTTAAAATCTGTTAACTCTGTAGTGTTGATACATCTGTAATTAGAATAGAGGTTATCTATCTATCTATCTATCTATCTATCTATCTATCTATCTATCTATCTATCTATCTATCTATCTTTGTTACAATTCCTGTAGTTCTGGGAAAAATAATTCTGCGATGATTACAAAGCATAGATATAGTACATTTTTGTTATATAAAACACATTACCAAACATCTAGCACAAAGTATAAATCTAAGATAATTTAAAATATTCCAAAATTTAACCCTGTGACATATAAGACAGAAAGCCTTACAAATATGTATACAAGTAGACTTCCCATCAGTCATAGAATACTTAGAAGTTTGCTAGACTTCTTTTTTCCTGAGTATTAAAGGGCCCACATTATCTCCTGTTGACTCGTTGTGTTTGTTGTGAGAGCCATCACAGACAGGGAACTGAAACAAAAACAGAGAAAAAGTAGGCAACCTGGAATGTTAGTGATTTTACAACTATAATTGAGATGAAGGGCCAAGTTAGACTCAAATACATTAATAAACACAATACATACTCAGATGAGGTTGGTAGGCTGGTATGGGTAATAAATCACCAAGGATGAGAAGAATCAAAAAAGGTAATCTAAAACCTAAATGACACTCTTGGTGGTTTAAATTATGGACTATGTTTATTCATCATCAATACTGAACAAGTTGAACATGTAGAGTGGCTGGCTAATAGAAGCGAGCAGTGGTCAGAAATGAACATCTACAAAAATATTATTTCCAAAATCTTTTCCTTTTTAGTTTAACCTCAACAATTGGCTTGGCTTGCACGTGTTAAGGTATAAAGTGTGGTTTAGAAATCGTAATAGGCTTGGTATAAAATATCTATATTAATAAACTCCATTACTCTATTTTGAGAATTCAATTGGTATTGGCTGTACTTATATCTTCACTTTCTTCCTCTAAGTTACAACTCTTGTAGTGGCAATAAAATTATATTAAGTGTTACATACAATATGTAGAGGATTCTGCTTAGTCTAATGCTAAAAATTGAGCCATAGTTGCCAATTTGGACATGTCAAATTATAAGTAACAAGACCATAATATTATTTGGGTCTATATCCAAATTCAATTATGGTTTATGATCAATTGGCATAACAAGACATGATTTATAACACTTGTTCTAACCCTGAAATGTCATGCTATCCTTAGCTAGTTAAATAAAACGGAGAAATCATATCTATATCATAGCTGTTGTTCTTCCCCAGCAAATTCAACCTTGCAGTTCAAGTGAAAAAAAAAAGTATTAATTCCTCACTAGTGATAAACAGTCTGCAGGAACATTCTACCCCAAAGTCCACAATCATGTCCTTTAAAAGCAGCGAGCAACTCTATATCATAAGTAACAAGAACGACCTTAAGTAAAAAGTGTATAGCAAATTCAATAAACTCACTGTTTTAGAGCGCCAGCATCTGCAGTACACTGCCTTAGTGTGACATAGATCCTCAATGTTGATTTCATTTACTACTTTGGGATTCTCCTTCTGGATCTTGAGATTAATCAAGCTGTCCTTCTGCTGTTTCTTCTTGGGAAGGAGTGGGCGAATAGCAAGATATCCGAGCAGAGCAAGGACACCCAGGAAAGGCAATAACCGGAGCCATTCTGAAACTAAGCACATGCCACAAGCATATTGTAGAACAATATTCTGCAGCAACTTAATTTCATATACAAACATTAATTCCCTTCTTGTTAATTATCCCAGTGCCAGGACTAGCATTCCAAAGGGTAGGGAATGGTTAGGAGGAAAAAAAATGTGTGAAACAGATTAATCTTGTCAGTTTTGAGCCAGAAAGCACACTTTCAGTCCCATAATTTTGTACGGTGCAAACTGCTTCGCTTAATTATAAAGGTGCTAGTCCCAACTGGGGTCACTAAACAAAAACTACCTGTGCTTCTAAAACAGCATATTGAATGGGGACAGATATTTCCCTCTGCCAGGCAGTCACATAATTCTCTGCAGAGAATAGATACAAATTGCAGAATAATACCACCTATTTTAGTATGCCAGTATAAAAAGTAGAGTCATTTGGGGATGATATGGTACATTGCAGTGGAATTCTTTGGAACAGAAACAGGAAACGAGAGCAGGAAGATATAACTAGAGCACAATACAATGCCAAATCTAACAAGTCTTTCCTGCTTCTTCATCCTGCATCCAAATGAAGTGGAAATCAATTTTTGTGCTTCCTGTTAAAGCCCAACATTAATTAACAAGGAAGAAAGGTAAATATAAAAAAAGAAAAACAAATTTGATTTTTCATACAAAGACACTCTATATATGTCGAAAGAAGATGCAGCAAATCCTTCTAAGTTGTATTTTGCTACTGCTTTGGTCTGCAAAACTCATTGGATTAAGCTAAAAAGAGACGAAATGGTTCATATTTTTTGTTTCATTACTTTAATATGTAAACAAAATGGAAAAAAGAGCAAAGTGGAAGTGCTCACATAACATAAAGAAGAAAAGGTTTTGGCATGATTTAAAAGTAGGTTTACTCTTTTAAACTATAACACTTTTCCTTTCATGTCCTAATGTTTTCCAAAATGTATCTTAACTGCAGTCTTTATTACAGAAAATACAATAGAACTATAGTTAAAAATGGAACCAAGGTATTGCCATGGTATCAGAAAGTGAAATAATAGCTTTCTAAATGAGCTCAATGTTGTAGTTTGACTTTATGATTTTCATTCTCTGCAGAAATTAATGTAAAACTACAAGCCCAAAGATAAAGCTGAAATCAAGAGACTTCCGGTTTTTCTGCCATAGCGCACAGCCGCAGGATTGCAGAACTCCGCACCTCACGGCTGATTTCGCCCTGCCAGTGTACCCTAAATGGGTCTGAAGTCGCCCCAGAGAGGCAACGAAGAAAGAGGAGTGCCCCGATGATCACGGAACAACAATAGTTGTTCCGTTCGATCTGGGGGAAGCCCTCTAACCCAACAGGAGAATGGCTAGCTGCACACCAGGGTCTAGCCCAACCTACTTGCAGCCGAAGTCCAAGAACACGAACCAGAAAAATGGTGAACAGCATGCTTGGAACTGGTGAGAGTCTCGATCTTCTCTCCTCTCCTCTGTAACTAAGTCCTTGGGAAAGATCCCCAAAGTAAGAAAACCTCCAAAGGTGAAGGGAGGGGACTACACCCCCATAGATGGAAGTGGCAAATTAACCTTTAAGGGGGAAAGAAATATATTGAAATCAAAGTTAAAATACTACAGTCTGGATAAATCTAGAAATTTAAAAAAAACTGCTAAAATTATACTTTAAAGGGTTTTGATGAAACTATAATAATAATAAGTAATAATAATTTTTTGTCTGAAAAAGCTGGAAAACAAACAACTACTGACACCTAGTGGAGAACTAGAACATAGAACATTAACAACACTGACCCAGAAATTGGCAAGACACCCAGAAACAAAGAATAATCTGTTCTCTTGAACTTTAATAACTCTCAGAAGACAGCTGGGTGGGAACAAAGAAAGAATATATACTGGGCCAACCATAAGATTAAAAAGTGTCTGAAGGAAAAGAAATACACTGACTGTTGTCTAAACTCAAGAATTGTTTACAGAAAAAGAAAAACTTTGACTCTGGGCTAATCTTTTAGGGGGGGATTTACAGGAAGGACTCAAGGTGGCTAAATATACTGAATTGCAATTTTGACTGGTTGACAACTGACCCCTGAATAAAAGAACTATTATAAAATACTGATTTTACTGATGCCTTGACAATTGGAAATAAAAATTATATATAAAAATAAGAACTATACAAAATTTGGGCTGTTTGGATTCTGAGTTTGGCTGGATCGATAAGGCTAATTATAGAGACTATGGCACTGATGGACTATTTGAAAGGGGGAGACAACATGGACACTGCATACTTATCAAAAAATGACAGAAAACCACATTTAATACTTATTCCCGAAGGACCTAGCCTGGAATATCAAAGACCTCCAGAAGCAACATTTCAAGATAAGACAAATACTTTCCAGGAGGAAATGTATGTAATGCTACAACAGATACAAATGACAATAGCTTCAATGAGATAAAAAATAACTTTGATGACATAAATGAGCACATCTCACAATCAAAAAACACTCAGAAAATTATGGTAAAGAATGAACAAACAAATCACATAACAGAACATAAACTAGAAGAAAATGACTTAATCAGCGAAGCTACAAATGAAGAGAATTATAATTTAACACAAACAGGAAAAAACCTACTAGACTTTGACATAACAATAAAAATGGAAAATATACTTTATTCATCAGAACGTCAAAATAAATCTGAGGATAAGAAAGAAGATTTAACAAAATGGACTATAGAACTGCCAGGAGAACCATTAGAGTTTGGGAGACAAAAAGCATATATTCTATGCATCCTGTCTTCTCCATGCCCAACAATACTTACAAAAATACAAGAACTTCCTGGCAAGCGGAATATATCAACTTGGAAAGCTACTTGGCAAAAGAAGAAGGCCAGAGACAGATTCAAGAGATTTGACTCGCCCTACCAGATGGAGTATTATATGAGCAAACATTTGTTTGAATACAGCTAAAAGAACAGATAACTTTGGATATAAAGGGATTCTACAAGAAGAGGGATAAGAGATATAAGTAATATAGTATTTTTCATAATATATAAAATGTAAAAATATTGGGATGATGTATGTGAATGAAAAGTTTGAAATTTAAAGGTAAATTAAGCTGAAGAGAATTAGGACTAAGGAATGACTGAAATACTGAGGGGAAATTAAGCTTTAAAAAGAACTTTAAAAATAAGATAGTGATTTAACAAATTAACTTTTACAAACATAAGTGAAATATAAACTGATCAGAAAAGATGTTACAGGTAGATGGCATAAGATAGATAAGCAGTATAGTATTTTTATAACGCAAGATTGGGTAGGATGGATTATTAATATGTCTGTAATATATGTGTCATGGTCACTAAATATTTTTTTGTAAATGTTCATAAAGAATATAAAATCATTTGTGTTCCGTTTTACTCAATTACTTGATACAATAGATTAGGTTTTGGACTAGTTGCAGGTAGAGCATATTGTGGGAAGTCAATCACTGCTTACCGTTAGCATATTGTGTTAGCCAGGCCATTGTGTTAATTCATCAAATTGTTCATTAGTTTTATACAGCATGTTGTATGAGTCCAAGACACAATTACTGTCTGTGTCTTGAAACTTTCTATTAGCCAAAAATCTGTTATGCAAAGTAACTGCATAATGTTTTTGGGAAACATCCTTCCATGGAAGCATGATTTTAATTCATGACCAATTTGCTAGGCTAACATAAGAAAACACCAAATTCTGGGAGCAGCATGTCAGGCAGTGATGGGCTTCTCTGTCTATTGTGACTGTGCTAACAACAGATATTTAGCCTGATGCAAGAGTACAAATGAATTAACAGGAAGCGGCAAATAAGGCAATAAAATTATGGGCCTGAAGGTGACCTTCCCTGTGAAATTGCTAAAGTCCTCTGTTCTTCACAAATTGATAGATAAAATTTCCAAAGCTACTCTGAATTAAATCAAGAAAGGCAGGTTGAACAAGATTCCTTTTCTCTCAAAGCATTTTATCCTCTATCCCATACTGTCCTTTCAGCTGTGCTTTTCACTTTTAACTGTTTTTTAACCTTGTAGCTATGTAGAGTCTACAGAGCCAATACACTCATTTGAGCTGAAGCTTAGTTATCTCTCCAAACCCCTGAATTTATTAGGCAGCTCAGCCTAGAAACAGTTAATAGTTGGAATCAAGATTTTTAAAAAATGAAATAAAAGCAGAGATAAGCGATATGCCATGCTGATTAAGAAAACTAACTCTGGATAGACAGTCAAAATCAAACTTAATCTGCTGACAATTAACTCATTTTTTGAGCTTGCACAATCAAGTCAACTGATTTCACACAATAAGCAAAATTACCAAGGTTAAACTAACTAAAGTTATGTTGTATGTATGCAGCTATTAGATCTTTAGTAGACCTACTTTGGCATGTTGTATACATCTAACCAGTAATTTTAAGAGAGAGGGAAAACAAGTGTTGAAGGAAAAGTCTTCATCATGGTTCAGTCCAAGTCGGGAATAAACATGGTGACCGCTTTAGAAAGAAGGTTGCAGTTTATTGAAGAGGAGAGCCAGACAGAAAGATGGCTCTGGAAGAAAAGAGAGAGAACACATGTAGAGAGTGGGTTTTTATACCCTCTGGGGCTCTTGAAGTTGTTTCCTGTTCCTGTTTGAGGCTTTGTATTTCCTGTGTCATGTACTTTGACCTGAGTCTGAGTGTGCCCCTTTGGCATCTGTGGGTTAATCCTATTATGCTCTGTCTTAGAGTTTGGGTGGGCTATGTAGATTTTAGGTGTCTTTGTCTTCCTAAGCTTCTAGCTGGAGGCCTCCAACCTTCCTAAATGGATTACTAATCTGCATTTCTGCTTGGGGGAGGGAGACTTGGGGCTATTAAGAAAAACTGGGCATGTTTTTCTGCCTCTTTAAGATCCTTTGAGGAAATATAATATTCTGCCCTTTTAATATTTTCTTCTCTGGGGGAGCTGACGTCCCACACAAGATTAACATGCCATTTGGCAGACACATTTACACAGACGTATCCGTGTCTCATGCGGAATCAGGAAAATTGATCATGCTCATGCATGAAAGAGAAGTGATCCTTCCTCTATTAACACAAGAAAGAGAACAAGTGTTTGGTTTATTTTTCCAAGAATAAGTTCACATACCTTTCCTCCCCAGTTACTGTCACAAGGTTTATATTGATCTCGTCTCCAACATAGATATTCCATCATATGCTATGACTGAGGTAGGTTGAAGTGCACTGATGCCTAGTTTGTTGTGAAACATCTGCAACAAAAACTCCAAGCTCAGAGAGCCCCAAGGTACCCATAGTTCAACCCTGAGCTACAAATATTCTCTTTTATTGGTATCATATCTACTCTTTTTAGGGATGGATGATTTAGAAATACGAGAAATAAAAACATCACTCACGACAGAAACATGCACGGAAAAAGATCATAAAAGCGTAATTACCAAAAACCATACCACTGTAGGAATAAAAGATGATTTAATATAGAAAAAAGTAACTTATCTCCACTGAAGAATGTTGCTATACTTCATGGTGTGGGACTGGGTTGCCTGAAGGACCACCCATCTGCAATTGCATCTGCCTGTCCCCATTACAGTTGGCAGAAAGAGCATGCATTGTCTGCTTGACTTGGCTGGCCTCTGCCTGGATGCCCCGCTTGTGGAACACTCTCCTTCCAGAGTGAGATTAGTTCCATCACTGCTAATGTTCCATAAGTCTCTCAAGACCTGACTTGGGGGGGGTCTTAAAGAACTAGGAATATCTTAAGATGGTTCTGGCATTGTGTTTGATCTACTCTCTCAAAAACTGGATTGTTATATTAATTTTCATATATTTTTATTTAATGGTTGCATGCTACCCAGAGTCACTTCATGGAAGATGGTTGGCCAGATAAATGAACTAAATAAACATGCTCGTGCTAAATCTGTTGTATAATGTTATTAATTATCATTGCTTATGTACTTTTTTACTCCACTACATACAGTTCCAAGTGGCTTGAATAAACCATCAAAACTATTTAGATACATAAAACTGAAAAATCAACATAGACATAAGGTACATGATTCAATAATCTTAGTTTCTAAAAATATGATTGTACTATTTACCTTATATTGTTTATAAATACAGACTGAAATGATAGACAACAAAATCTAAAGAAATTTATTTTATTTTAAAATCCTACCTATTAGCATTAGGAAAACATAGGAAAACATGAATGGGTAAAATTCCTATATAGTTTTTCTTTTACATATTATATATAGGTTTTCTCAGGTGGAAACTCCTGGTGATTTTACAGAAGGTTTGGGGAACAACATGGAAGTGGTTTGCATTTGCCTTCTTCCAGGACACTTTTCTATTTTCTATTCTATCTACAACCCTAGAATTATCTACTATCTCCTGAATTAGCTTATTTTTAAATCAATTAATTTAATTTATTGTGTTGTGGGGCTACCCAACTCCCAAAAGAGACTGGGTGGCCTACAATATTTTAAATGCATTATTTAGGTTACATACAGCCCAGATCAAACTGCATCAATAATTTTTAAAAAAATGATAAAGATGCTGTCACCTGGGAAACTGCATTATCTACAGAAGCATTTAAATGTGCCTAAAAGTGCACATAAAACAGATGTTTTGGAATCTGAAACCAAAAACGAAAATAACCCTTTAGAAATAGAATTATTTAAAATGTGACTTTTACAATCCATAGATACAAACATAATGATGAAACAAACATGACAACATAAAGACAACACTTGGACTATTGCATCCAGGTTTGGTCACCATAATATAAAAAAGATATTGAGACTCTAGAGTGCAGAGAAAAGCAACAAAGATGATTAAGGAACTGGAGGCTAAAACATATAAAGAACTGTTGCTAGAATTGGATATGTGTAGTTTAATGAAAACTAGGGGTGACATGATAGCAGTGCTTCAATATCTAAGGGGCTGCTGCAAAGAAGGGGGGCCAACCTATTCTCCAAATCACCTGAAGGCAGGACAAGAAGCAATGGATGGAAACTAATCAAGGAGAGAACCAACCTACAACTAAGGAGAAATTTCCTGACAATCAGAACAATTAATCAGTGAAATGAGCTGCCTCCAGAAGTTGTGAGTATTCTAACACTGGAGGTTTTTAAGAAGAGAATAGACAACCATTTGAAATATTATAGGACTTCCTACCAGGAGGCTGGATTAGAAGACCTCCAACTCTGTTATTCCATCATCACTTAAACTTAACCATTTGTATTTGCAATTCAAGTCATGTGTTTTTGTCAAAACACGTTTTGACATTCTCCCCCCCCCCCAACATGGAAGCCTAAATATCAATCTGGCATCTCTCAGATATAGATTTTTCCATCATGGTTAACCACTGTATTATAGTTTGTGGCTTTGTCTATTGTTTCAAGCCCTGGCGTGAGATTTTTTAAGAATAAGACAGGCATAAACAAACCACGTGCGAACCCAAGTTACATTTTCTCTGTTGGAATACCAATTAAGTGTTCCATTTCTCCAACCCCTGGAAGCAAGCCAGCAAAGTTAGTAGCTGCAGAAAGGAGGAACCAAGATGCTGTGCGCCCCCTCTGGGAGGGAGCATCACGCGGCGGAAAACTGGGCACTGTAGTCAATCCACAGAACGCACCGGAGGAGGCTGCCCGACTTCCTCCCATTGAATCCATCGGAGTTTATTTCCGAGCTGACTTTATGCAAGCGTCCGTTCTTAAGCGAAGCGGAGAGCAAACGCTGGGTTTGCAAGAAATGGGGCTATTCCATGATAACGTCAGGCTTGTCCAAAGTGGCGTTTCTTGCCTCTCGGTGCCTCGGGCGCCAGAAAATGACGCCGTAGCCACAGCTTGCACACAAACACACACACGCACACACACACACACCGTGCCCTCTTTTTCCCTTTCCCAAACAGCCCTGCGCTGCCCCCTAACCTGTGAGTCTCAGGAAGCCGCCGACGCTCTCCGGCAGCGGCAGGCGCTTGAGGTAAGCGGGCAGCTGCACTTTGATGATGCGGGCCAAGCTATCCAACACCATGGCGCCGGGCGAGGTTTGGGCCAGGCGGGGCGGGGCAGGACTGGACGCCGCTGGGTTACCTCCGGCTCGCACGGCGAACTTTCATGCCAGGGTCGGACTTTGCCCTTCTTTCCTCGCACAGAAGCAGTGGCTCTCCCGGCCACGGAGCATGCGCGCCACCGGGGGAGGGGGCCTCCCGAGGAAGGAGGGCGATGCGGATAGATGGGTCGCCGCCCTCCCGCGAAGGCGCCGCGGCTTTTCCCGGCGGCCGGGCGGGCGTTTGACGAGCCGGTGGCCCGAGAGGGGGGAAACCCGGAGCTGCCTCGGAAGGCGTGACCAGTTAAGCAGCGTCGCTCTAGTTGGAATCTGCGAAGGAAAGTAGGCCAGGCTAGGAAGCTGGGAAAAGGCCGGGATAAAGCAACCGCTTCTGGTGCGTTGCTGGACGGAGAGTTGAGCTGTTGCCGTTTGGTTGGAATAAGCACTTGGCAAATACAGACATGCCACGCGAAGCTGCCGGTATCCGGAGACCGCTGAAAGCCGGAGCGTTACAATTTTGCCTCGCTAATTTCTCCCATCTGGCGGTTGTCCAGAGTTTTAGTTACGTGGATATGTTGACCCGAGAAGCCGAGCTCGACCCCAGGACATTTTTGCTTTGTTTACATGGAAGGAGAGACAGTTTAGTATCAAAAGTTATCAAGTCAGGCTGCAGCCTTAACCTGCTTCCGCCAATGTTCATCTCAACGGTAAAAACAATTATACTTAGAAGGCAGGGACTGTTTTCAACCAAAAAAGGGGGAGAGGAGAACCAATCAGGATCATTTGCTTGTTCTTTCTGGAGGGTCCCTAATATAAGTACAGTTTGTACCTGACTAGACTTGATTCACATGCCTGGAGGCCCTTTCTCACCCAGCTAAGAAGCTAGTGCCTACTTGGGGTTAAAGATCAGCCTCTTCGTCTTCCTTTGGAAGGAGGACTCTTTAACTATTTTGCCCAATAACGAGTTTAACTCAAATCTGAATTCTCAAAAGGGATAATTCTAAGAATCCTACTGTAAAATAGTATTAGTGGATACACATATGCATAAACATCCATAACAAGCCATACTGTTCTCAAAACAATGATATGCACATTGTGACATCATCAAGCAAATGACCAGGGTTAAGAAAAGACGCAAACCTTACTAAATATGACGAAACGCGCGCGCGCAAATCTAACCAGCTCATTTCGCTCCACCGAATGAGCGCGCGGTCTCCTTTCCTATGGCGGCAGTTGAGCGTTGCTGGCTTCCACCAATCGGAAGGCACTTAGGGGGCGGGACATCGCGCGGGCGCGCGTTGTAGACTCGCCTCCGCCGCCATCGCCCTCCCCTTCCTTCCCCCCCCCCCCGTTCCTCTCCGAAGGAGGTTGTCGCGGAGCCGTCGCTGCCCTTTTGCCGGAGAGGCTCGTCGGGAGACATCCGCCGATCGAAAGAGGCGGCGCCGTTGACGTCGCGGCTGGTGTTCGGTGCGGGCGGGCGCCCCCGGCTGTTTCCGGAGGAAGGAGAAAAACGCAGGCAGCGAGCGAGCGAGCGAGCGACTCCATCCCCCACCCGCAGGGACGGAGTGGCGGCAGCGGCGGCGCAGACAGGCCCGACGAGGCGGAGGCGAAGGAGGCGCAGTTCGAGTGACCCCCCCCGGCCGCGGCGGCCACCACCACCACCACCCTCACCGCGACGCTCTCCCCGCGCAGAAGGAAGGATGGCGCTGAAACGCATCAACAAGGTGAGCTGGGTCCCCGGACCGGCCTCGGCCTGCCGGCTTGGCCAAACCGCCGTGCGGAGGAAGAAGCCGGGAGGGAAGGCTGCCGCCTGCCTTTGCCCTGGGCGTTGGGCAGCGGCCCTCGACGGCTCGGCTGGGCCCGGTAGGAGCGTTACGGGCGGACGGGAGGTTGGATTGCCGGCTGCTGGTCGGGCCTGGCCCCAGAGGCCGTAGCCTTTTTTTGTTAAAGAGATACAGCAGCCAAACAGGACAGGTAGAGACTCAACGGATAGTTAAGCCTGCAGAAAGAAGAATTGCAACCAGCCTGCCTTCCATTGAGGATCTGGATATTGCACGGGTCAGAAGGAGGGCTGAGAAGGTAACTAGAAAGCCCTGACATCCTGGACACAAACTGTTTAGACTCCTTCCCAGGAGATGTCGCTATAGGACAGGGGTTCTCAACCTTGGCAACTTTAAGACTTGTGGACTTCAACTCCCAGAATTCCTCAGCCAGCTTTGCTGGCTGAGGAATTCTGGGAGTTGAAGTCCACAAGTCTTAAAGTTGCCAAGGTTGAGAACTCCTGCTATAGGACAAACAACTAGACACAGCATGGGTTCCTTTCTCTCCTAGTGCCCTGAACACCCAATTCTTGCACTACTGTCTACTGTACGTATATTTACCTATGTAGTATGGCTGTAGTGTTTATCCTTCTGCCCCCTCTTATTGATCTTATTATGAGGATTGTATTCTGTTGCTTTCCATGTACACTGAGAACTTCTCCACTGGACACAAATTCCTTTTTTTTATGTAAGTATTTTATTAATTTCAAGTTTTGCAATCATAAATTCTTAATAAACAACTCGGTGTCTGGGTTCCTTTATCATTCAGTGGTATATATTAACTTTCACTCAAAATATCCAATACTACACCATCCAGTATTTCCCTGATCCTCTCTTCTTCCAATAATTTTTCCCCACTATGCAAGTATAATTCCTACTGCTATTAATACCTATACAATTAAATATAAACATCTTCATCACATGTTTCTAATGTTATACGTAGTGTCAATAATATCAGTTTATAATATCTTCTCTAGCCAAAACATTTTTCAAATGTATTTGCAATCCCTATCCTGTTTCTTTTTTTCCAATTTTAATTTTCCATCAATATTCAAAATAACTATCAATTATCATTTTTTTCATAATTATATTTAGGTAACTAAAACTTCCCTTATACCGACCGTCTTAGTATTTTCATATTTCCCATCTTATAGAAAATTATGTTATCCTAGTTACAAATTACATCCTTCTATTTTATAATGGTCCTTTTATTTCTAACAATTGTCTATTTTAATCATATTCAAACATCCATTAGATGGTATAATACCTCATCTAATTAGTCAGGACCTCTATTTTCTTCAGTTTACTCTAGCTTTCATCCTTTGCCAAATAACTTTGCAAATCAGCACATTTAAGTCACCAAGTATTTCTTCCTCTGTTTCTATATATATATTATTTGGAATAAAAAAGATAATTAAAGTGTTTTCGTAAAAACACTTAATCCATTTATATTCGTTAAACAGCCTCCATTTTCTTTCTCCTTCAGTTTCTCTTTTAGTTTCTTGTTCCCCAGTTTTCAGCATTTCTCCTAACAGCTCTGTCATCCATTCTATCAATTCTTCTTCTTTGTCCTCAAATATGATCTGAAGTCTTGAAAAGTAAAATGTCTTCCCCATTTCTGGTGTTATATCTGGGTCTTCCAAATTTTTTATTTATCTGCACCCTGACTGTTGCTTTCTTCTTTTGAATCCTCTATCTCAGAAGTGTCAAACTCAATTTCATTGAGGGCCGCATCAGCATTGTGGTTGCCCTCGGGTGTGTGGCTAGCATTGGCGTGGCCTACTGGGTGGGAGTGGCCAGCTCAACAGTGCTCACGTCAGGGGCGCCTGGGCAGGCCTGGGACGGATCCAAGGGTCTCCAGCGGAGGAGGATGGGACCGGGCCGAGTGCCAGGACATGGCCCACTGGAGGAATTTCACTGTCCCTCTCAGGACACTAGCATGGATCCTGAAAGCAACTGTCCAAACAAGAGTATGTTTGTACAACCAACCCAAACCTGCACCTGAGTCAGGTAAGGCAGGCTAATATCAAGGAGGCCTTTTTGATTGTGGCACTGTCATTCTTGGTAAACTGTTTGCTACAGTTTTAGACCACCTGTGACAACAGTTATTTGTTCTAATGTATCAATAAAAATATATTTAAATACAAATGTTTCAATACATTTAACCCACAGTACTGCTTAGAAAAAGAAATTGACAATAAACGTGTTTAAAAATGTAATTTCAAGGAAATTAATTTATCCTGAAGTACTGATGGGACAAAAGTGGCCTATCCTTCGAAGTGTAAAGCAATAACAGAAACAACTACACTCCTCAGCCCTAGGTATAGGTAGAGACAAGAACAAACAAAAATACGGTTATGAAATAAATGATTAAAGCTTTTTTCACTATGATCAATAAAGTTTTATGACACTTTTTAGTGAAAACTGAGCTTGTATACACATTAAATTGGAATACGTAGTTTAAAATTTCTGAGTAGATCTAAAAACCAAGAAGTCCCAAAGCTCCTGTAGCCAGTTTTTTGGGGAGACATCCCCCGCCTCTCAAGTAGGCTTAAACATCCTCAAAAGGTATTCAGAAAAGGGTATTTCTAAGTTCCATATAGTCATTGTGAACTTTAGCAAATAGGGTTCTTTTTGTAATATATATATGGTAAACCTTTAAGAATATATAATTAAGTCCATAGGGTAAGCACACTAAATGATCACCCATATTTTTTTAAAAAAATAAAGACGTCCATTATAGGTATTTTTATTTTATACAGTACATCTCAGGAGTAGCTATACAGATCTCAAACATAACATCTATAAGATATACCTTTGTGTTGAAGCATCAGAATACTGAATTTATTTGGGGTGTTAGACATCTAAAATGATGCCATGTTGCATGTTTCCAAATACTGTTGATGAGTAGAGAATACTCTGAAACAATATTTTCCAATGTGGATGACATGATGTGTGGAGTTTAATTCCTAAAATTCTCACCTAAAATTCTCAGAAATGGCCATGCTGCTATGAGGATTATGGAAGTCAAAGCACACACAAAGGGATACTCCAATTGTGAAAGGCTGTGCTAGAACAATATAGAGGAAAAATTACAAGCAATAAGACTGAGAATAGTCTAAACTGAGAAACATGATTTCGGGATGAGTCCCCACATAGGAGAACTTTGAGGGATGTAGCTGGCTACAGATAGAAGGGGAAAAAAGGAAGGTTCTCCCATAAACTTAAGGTGCATCGGAGAAATCTGGTTTACTAATTGCTGATTTATTTTGTCTAGGTTTTTGTTAGCATAGTAGGTGGATTCAGATATTGTGATTCCTCTTTATGGCATAATGTGATATTTGAATCCTGGCAATTGTGCATTATTCAGTCAATCATGGCTAGAGAAACCATGATTTAGTGTGATATATGAAATCAGTGACTTTAAAAAAAAAACCTGTCTACAGGCTGCAGTTGGTTCTGTTGCCTTAGATACAGCACCAGATTATAAAGATAAAAAGCTAGAAAAATGTGACCTGTACAACTTGACAATAGCTTTCTCTTCTTTCCTCTATCCTTACTACTTTCTGTAGAGGGATGATTGAAAGCATCCTGCCATATTGTATTACTGTTTTGGTTTGGAAGTACAGGTAGTCCTCAACTTACAACAGTTCATTTAGTGACCATTCAAAGTTACAACAGCACTGAAAAAAGTGATTTATAGTTTTTCACATTTGCAACCGTTGCAGCATCTCCGTGGTCATGTGGTCAAAATGGCACTTGGCAATTGATTCAGATTTATAACAATTGCTGTGTCCTAGGGTCATATGATCAACTTTTGAGACCTTCTAACATGCAAAGTCAATGGGGAGGTCAGATTCACTTAACAACCTGGTTAGTAACTTAACAAGCAATGATTCACTTAACAACTGTAGCAAGAAAAGTTGTAAAATGGGGCAATGCTCTTAACAAATGTCTTAACAGAAATTTTGGGCTCAATTGTGGTCATAAGTCGAAGACTAGCTGTATTACTGTTTCGATAGGAAGGCTGTGCAGAGCATAGTGAGGACAGCAGAAAAGATTATTGGAAGTTCACTTGCTTCTATCCATGACATGGCATATAAGCGCTGCTTGACCAGAGTCTGTAGTATTGTCAAGGACGCTACACCTCCTGTCCACGACCAGTTTTCTTTGTTAACTTCTGGGAGGAAGCTTCGTAGTATCCGGAGCAGAACAACTAGACTCTGTAAAAGGTGTGTACCATATGCTATCAATCTTGTTAACACTCATGACTCTTTTTTCCGCTATGTATTCAAAATGGACAGAGGTTTTTTTTTTTTTTGTAGCAATCTGGCAGTACAGCTGGCTTTATATCTGTAGTACAGATATACCTGTAGTTAGACTAGAAGTCTCTCCCTCTCCCTCCCTCCCTCTTTCTCTCTAATTTTTGTTACAAACACTGCAGTTCTGGGAAAAATAATTCTGCTATGATTACAAAGAATACATATAGTATATTTTTGTTATATAAAACTATACAACAAATTACCTAACATCTAGCACACGGTATAAATTTAAGATAATCTAAAAATATATTAAAATACAACTCTGTGATTATTATAAGACTGAAAGCCCTACATATACATATACATATAGACTTCCCTTCAGTCGCAGCATATCCAGAAGTTTGCTAGACTTCTTTTTTCCTGAGTATTAAAGGGCCCACATTATCTCCTGTTGATTCGTTGTGTTTGTTGTGAGAGCCATCACAGACAGGGAACTGAAACAAAAACAAGAAACAAAAAGTAGGAGACTGGAATGTTAGTGGTTTTAGGACTAATTAAGATTAAGGGACAAGTTACCCTTAAATGCATTATTAAGCACAATACATACCCAGATGTGATTGGTAGGCTAGCTTGGGTAATGTCCACCAAAGATAACGGCTATCCAAAATGTAAACTGAAATCTAAATGTCACTCTTGGTGCTTTAAATTATGGACTATGTTTATTCATCACCAATACTAAGAACTGTTGAATAAGTTGAGCATCTGATGTGTATTCTTTAAAACAATGGCTTAAATAGGAGTGAGCAGTGTTTAGAAATGGACAGCTACAAAAATATTCTGTCCAAAATTTCGTTTAACGTCAACAATTGGCTTGGTTTGCACGTGTTAAGGTATAAAGTGTAGTTTAGAAATCATAATAGGCTTGGTTTAAAATATCTACATTAATAAACTACATTAGATTATTTTGAGAATTCAGTTGGTACTGGCTGTTTGTTGCTTTTATCTTCATCTTCTTGATTACAACTCCTGTTCTGGCAATAAATTATATTAAATGTTATATGCATACGTAGAGAATTCTGCTTAATGTAATCTACCCGCTAAAATAATTGAGTCATAATTGCCAATTTGGACACATCAAATCATAAGTAACAAGATCATAATGTTATTTGGCTCTTTATCCAAATTCAACTATGGTTTATGATCAGATGACATGTCATGATTTATAACGCTTGTCCTAATCATGGAATGGCGTGCCATCCTTAGCTAGTTAAATAAAATGGACAAATCACATCTGTATCATAGCTATTATTCTTCTCCAGCAAATTTACCCTTGCGGTTCAACAACATGTCGGAAGCTAAATGAAAGCAAAGAGTTTAAATCATTTGAGTTATAAATCAAAGTGAACATATATGGCCTGGTAGCTTGGCAAAGTACCAGGACCGTGCTGGTCCACAAAAGCATGTATAAAGCTCTCAGGCATCACCTTTCCCAATGATTCTAAAGGACTATGGACAAAAATGTTTTTCCAGCTACAGAATATATTTTAAAATGGAGGTATTTACTAGTATGCAATCAAAACTAGTTCTGGCAAAAGTAAAAAAAAACAGTATGAATTCCTCACTAGTGATAAACAGTCTGCAGGAACATTCTATCCTGAAGTGTACAATCATGATTTTTAAAAGAAGTGAGCCACTCTATGATAAGAGATAAGAACAACCTTTAAGTATAGCAAATTCAATAAAACAACTCACTGTTTTAGAGCGCCAGCATCTGCAGTACACTGCCTTAGTGTGACATAGATCCTCAATGTTGATTTCATTTACTACTTTGGGACTCTCCTTCTGGATCTTGAGATTAATCAAGCTGTCCTTCTGCTGTTTCTTCTTGGAAAGGAATGGACGAATAGCAAGATATCCGAGCAGAGCAAGGACACCCAGGAAAGGCAATAACTGGAGCCATTCTGAAACTAAGCACATGCCACAAACATATTGTAGAACAATATTTTAAAGCAACCTATTTCATATACAAACATTAATTCCCTTCTTGTTGTTTATCCCAGTGCCAGGACTAGCATTCCAAAGGGTGGGGAATGGTTAAGAAGAAAAAAATGTGTGAAACAGATTAATCTTGTCAGTTTTGAGCCATAAAGCACACTTTCAGTCCCATCATTTTGTAGTGTGCAAACTGTTTTGCTAATACAGCATCTTGAATAGGGACAGATATTTCCCTCTGCCAGGCAGTCACATATCCTCTGCAGAGAACATACAAATTGCAGAATGATACCACCAATTTAAGTAACACTTTTATTATAAAGAATAAGTATAAGAATTAGTACAAGAAACGTATTTGACGTTACTTCATTGTGTGCAGCAGCATTGTGGGTGCAAGCAGCAGGAATGAGATGAGGTGCTGTTCTGGGAAGCTTCCAAAGCATCCGGCTCCATTCGTCCTTCAAAGACCTTTCTTTTCTGTTTGACTGCAGGAGGCTCAAAGAAAGTGTCTTTTTGGGTCACCTGGGTGCTTTTATCCAGCCTGAATGTGTAATTTTGGAGAAACGCCATGGAATAATCACTTGAGAAATCTGACTTGGTGAGTTTTCTCAGCCTGAAGGTACTCTCTTGAAGATACGGCATCCATTCGGGGCCCAGATCTTCCTCCTGGGTGCTTTTATCCAACAGGCTGATTTGGAGAAACGCAATGTCTTTCAAAATGTCTTCCTCCTGTGACGGATGGTCAGTCTGAGCCAGTTTCTGAGTGGGGACCTCCTTGAGAGCGAGGGCTTGGTTGTGTTCTCTACGCTCCTTTGACAGCTGAGCTAGCTGGAGGACGTATTGAGCAGCATAGTTTTCTGAAAATAGAGGAGCCTCCAGGTTTACTGCAAACATCGAAGTGATTTTCTCCAGTAACTCGGCAGTCTGATTTGCTGCTTCACTCTTCTGGAGGAGCAAGTGGTCTTTCTCCATCAGAAAGTGATTTTCCAGACTCATCCCAAAGCCTCCAGGTGCGGCTTATAGAGAAATTAATGTAAAACTACAAGCCCAACAACAAAGCTGAAGTCAAGAAAATTGAAAAATAATAATATGATAGGAAAAGTTAAATTAAGAAATTCTAGGGGTTGCTGAGAGAGAGAGAGAGATAAAAATGCAAAAACTAAAGTCCTAGTTTGCACAGAAATATTAGACCACATTAAAGGTATATAAGACTTTAATTACTTGATAAATTACAAAACTGCTACAAAATATCAATGTTGGTACAGAAAATAATTACAATGCACATATAACAGTTTGTGTTCAGCTCATACTTGAAATCTGTATTTGCTTAATAAAAGAGGTTATGGTTCCATTATTAAATGAAAAATAAGAAGAAAAAATGACATTGCTGATCACTACAAGATTTCTGACAGACAAGAAAAGATAATTCCATTTGCCCAGCAAAGGGCACAGAACACCCCATATTGATCCAATTAATAAAAAGGAATGAAATGAAATTGTTATTTAGGTGACAATTCAAAAGTCTTGTCCATGTGCAGGATGTTGTATGAATCCAATTTCATGACCTTAAGCATACTTAAAAATAACTGAATTCACATTATGTTAATCGTTGAATACATCACACTTAGTTTGCATGTGCAAATGCCATAAAACACGGCTTACAAATCTTAGGGACCAGGTTCACACAACAAGCTATGCCATAATTTGATTTAATTCTGAATTAGCAGTGGTTGTGAACCCAACAGCCGCTTATTTGCAAAAATAATAAACATGCAATAAATAAATATTCCACAAACCAATGGCTAAACAAACCACAATTTTTGATTCTGTGTGTTTACTGTATGTTTATTAATATTTATATGTCTTCATCAGAACAATAAATCCAAACTCGGGTAGAATACACAGCTTGAAGGAAAATGTAGATGAATGTCCTTGAAAACAGAAGCAAAAGCCAATTTTATGAAACCACATCTAATATGGTTATACAAAGTGAAGTGAGAGCAGAAACACTGATCCACCTGCCTTTAGAATGTGTAGATCTTCCTCTGGCACTCCTGGAGCTGAGTATATTAGAGTTTTACAGGAAAATCTTTTATATGTGGTACCCTTCTTACTGTATCTTGAAATTTTTCTATTGTTACCAAAAATCTGTTATGCAAAATAACTGCACAATACTTTTTGGGAAACATCCTTCCATGGAAGCATCATTTTACCTCATGACCAATTTGCTAGGCTAACATAAGAAAACACCATATTCTGGGAGCAGCATGTCAGGTACAGATGGGCTTCTCTATCTACTGTAACTGTGCTAACAACAGATATCTAGCCTGATGCAAGAGCACACATGAATGGAACAGGAAGAGGCAAATAAGGCAATAAAATTATGGACTTGAAGGTGACCTTCCATGTGAAATTGCTACAGGAAAGTATTTTGTTCGTCACAAACTGATAGATAAAATTTCCAAAGCTGCTCTGCATTCAATCAAGAAAGGCAGGCTGAACAAGATTCCTTTTCTCTTAAAACATTTTATTCTCTACCCTAGAGGCCCTCAACCTTTTGGGTACCACGGACCAGTTAAGTGGAAAGAGATTTTTCCTCAGACCGGAGGGGGTGTGGTTTTGTGTGCTGCCTGCATCCTGTGGATGGGGCTTTCCTTGTTTGTGTCGACCGGTTACTGGCATGCTGTATGGCCCAGTACTGGTCCATGGACCGGGAGTTGGGGACCCCTGCTCTACCCTATACTGGCCTTTCAGCTGTGTTTTTCACTTCTAACTGGTTTTTAATCTTGTAGCTATGTAGGGTCTAGAGAGCCAATGCACTCATTTGAGATGAAGCTTACTTATCTCTCCAAACCTCTGAATTAATTAGGCAGCTCAGCCTAGGAACAGTTCATAGCTGGAAACAAGATATATCATATTTATTTAGAAAACTATCTCTGGGTAGACATTCAAAATCAAACTTAATCTGCTGACAATTAACTCATTTTTTGAGTTTGCACAATCAAGTCAACTGAATTCACACAAAACAAATTACCTTCTCACAAATTAACAAGGTTAAAAGTATTCAACCTTATGTTTTGTATATGTAGCTATTAGATCTTTGGTAGACTTACTTTGGCATGTTGTGTACATCTAACCAGTTGTTTTAAGAGAGAGGAAAACAAGATTAACAAGCCATTTGGCAGATACATTTACATAAAAGTATCCGTGTCTCATGCGGAATCAGGAAAATTGATCATGCTCAGGCATGAAAGAGAAGTGATCCTTCCTCTATTAACATTAGAAAAAGAGCAAGTGTTTGGCTTACTTTCCGAAGAATAAGTTCACATACCTTTCCTCCCCAATTACTGTCCCAAGGTTTATATTGATGTCTTGTCTCCAACATGAATATTCCATACATGCTGTGATTGAGGTAGATTGAAGTGCAGTGATGATGTTACCTAGTTTGGTAGTGAAATGCCTGCAAGAAAACTACCAACCTCAGAGAGCACCAAGGACCCCACAGTTCAACTCTGAGCTACAAATACTCTTTTATCATCATTCATCACTCTTTTCAGTGATGAATGATTTAGAAATATGAGAAATTAAAAAATAGGACAGAAATTTGCACGGAAAAAGTTCATAAAGGCATAGTAACTGATTCATTTAACCATACCACTGTAGGGATAAAAGAGGATTTAATATAGAAAAAAATAACTTATCTCCACTGAAGAATATTGCTATACTTCATGGCATGGGACTGGATTGCCTGCAGGACCACCCGTCCACAATTGCAACTGTCTGTCCCCCATTAGAGCTGGCAGAAAGAGCATGCATTGTTTGCTTGACTTGGCTGGTCTTCTCTGCCCTGATGCCCTGCTTGTGGAACATTCTCCTTCCAGAGGGAGGTTAGTTCCATCACTGCTAATGTTCCATAGGTTTGTCAAGACCTGACTTGGGGGGGGGGGGTCTTAAGGAACCCGGGATATCTTAAGGTGGTTCTGGCATTGTGTTTAATCTATTCTCTCTACTGGATGCTTGTATTAATTTTTATATATTTTTATTTAATGGTTGCATGCTACCCAGAGTACATGGAAGATGGGTGGCCATATAAATTTACTAAAATACATCCTTGCAAAATATATTATGTAATGTTATCAATCATCACTACTTATATATATATTTGTATCCCACTACATACAATTTCCTGAGTGGCTTGAATAAAACATCAAAACAATTTAGATACACACTTAAAACTGTAAAATCTCAATCAATCAAATGATTTAGATGAGGGAATAGAAGGAGGACTCATCGAAATTGCAGATGACGCTAAGTTGGTAGGAATAGCCAACACCCCAGAAAACAAGCTCAGGATCCAAAAAGATCTTGACAGACTTGAACAATGGGCCCTATCTAGCAAAATGAAATTTAATCTGGAGAATAGCAAGGTTTGACACTTAGGCAGGAGAAACCAAATGTCCAAGTACAGATTAGGCGAAACTTGGCTCAAAAAACAGTAACTGAGAGGACAATCACTTAAATATGAGCCAACAGTGTGCAGCAGCAGCCAAAAAAGCTAATACAATCTTTGGTTGTATAAACACAGGCATAGAATCAACATCATGTGAAATATTAGTACCATTTATAAAACCCCAGTAAGACCACACCTGGAATATGGCATCCAGTTTTGGTCACATTACAAAAAAGATGTTGAGACTGCAAAGAAGAGCAACTAAGATGATTAAAGGTCTGGAGACTAACACATATGAAGAATGGTTGCAGAATTTGGGTCTGGCTAGTCTAGAGAAAAGAAGGACTAGGGGGGACATGATGGCAGTATTCCAGTATTTGAGAGGTTGCCACAAAGTGGAGAGGGTCAACTTATTTTCCAAAGCACCAGAGGGCAGGACAAGAAATAACTGATGGAAACTAATCAAGGAGAGAAGCAACCTGGAAATAAGGAGAAACATCCTAACAGTGAGTACAATTAACCAGTGGAACAGCTTGCCTTCAAAAGTTGTGGCCCTTCACCACTGGAGACTTTTAAGAAGAGACTGGATGGTCACTTTGTCTGGAATGGTACAGGGTCTCCTGCTTTGCAGGGGGTTGGACTAGAAGACCATGAAAGTCTCCCAACTCTATTCCGATTGATTGCTGTATGCCCCTCTGGGAGGGAGCATCACGTGGCGGAAAACTGGGCACTGTAGTCAATCCACAGAACGCACCGGAGGAGGCTGCCCGACTTCCTCCCATTGAATCCATCGGAGTTTATTTCCGAGCTGACTTTATGCAAGCGTCCNTTCTTAAGCGAAGCGGAGAGCAAACGCTGGGTTTGCAAGAAATGGGGCTATTCCATGATACGTCAGGCTTGTCCAAAGTGGCGTTTCTTGCCTCTCGGTGCCTCGGGCGCCAGAAAATGACGCCGTAGCCACAGCTTGCACACAAACACACACACGCACACCGTGCCCTCTTTTTCCCTTTCCCAAACAGCCCTGCGCTGCCCCCTAACCTGTGAGTCTCAGGAAGCCGCCGACGCTCTCCGGCAGCGGCAGGCGCTTGAGGTAAGCAGGCAGCTGCACTTTGATGATGCGGGCCAAGCTATCCAGCACCATGGCGCCGGGCGAGGTTTGGGCCAGGCGGGGCGACAGTGGACGCCGCTGGGTTACCTCCGGCTCGCGCGGCGAACTTTCATGCCAGCGTCGGACTTTGCCCTTCTTTCCTCGCACAGAAGCAGTGGCTCTCCCGGCCACGGAGCATGCGCGCCACCGGGGGAGGGGCCTGCCGAGGAAGAAGGGCGGCGCCGCGGCTTTTCCCGGCGGCCGGGCGGGCGTTTGACGAGCCGGTGGCCCGAGAGGGGGGAAACCCGGAGCTGCCTCGGAAGGCGTGACCAGTTAAGCAGCGTCGCTCTAGTTGGAATCTGCGAAGGAAAGTAGGCCAGGCTAGGAAGCTGGGAAAAGGCCGGGATAAAGCGACCGCTTCTGGTGCGTTGCTGGACGGAGAGTTGAGCTGTTGCCGTTTGGTTGGAATAAGCACTTGGCAAATACAGACATGCCACGCGAAGCTGCCGGTATCCGGAGACCGCTGAAAGCCGGAGCGTTACAATTTTGCCTCGCTAATTTCTCCCATCTGGCGGCTGTCCAGAGTTTTAGTTACGTGGATATGTTGACCCGAGAAGCCGAGCTCGACCCCAGGACATTTTTGCTTTGTTTACATGGAAGGAGAGACAATTTTAGTATCAAAAGTTATCACCAAGTCAGGCTGAAGCCTTAACCTTCCCCCAATGTTCATCTCAACGGTAAAAACAATTATACTTAGAAGGCAGGGACTGTTTTCAACCAAAAAAGGGGGAGAGGAGAACCAATCAGGATCATTTGCTTGTTCTTTCTGGAGGGTCCCTAATATAAGTACAGTTTGTACCTGACTAGACTTGATTCACATGCCTGGAGGCCCTTTCTTATCCAGCTAAGAAGCTAGTGCCTACTTGGGGTTAAAGATCAGCCTCTTCCTTCCTTTTAACTATTTTGCCCAATAACGAGTTTAACTCAAATCTGAATTTTCAAAAGGGATAATTCTAAGAATCCTACTGTAAAATAGTATTAGTGGATACACATATGCATAAACATCCATAACAAGCCATACTGTTCTCAAAACAATGATATGCACATTGTGACATCATCAAGCAAATAATATTGTAGTGTAATTACAAACACTAATTGCAATTGCAATCACAATCATGTCATTTGCCTCCCTGAACTCCTATGAACGCCCATGGTGACAATTTTCACCCAATATCTCAAAATGAATTTTCTATATACTGTAACTTTATAATTTATTTCACTAAGTTTGGGAAGATGACTGAATTGCTATGTTTTTACATAATATGCTACTTGAACCTTATTACTTTCATCATAAATATGGTTTAGTATGTTGTGCAAATTCTGCAAACCCTGATTTATTCAACTTACCATAAGTAAAGGATGAGGCAGATCAAATTGCACCCAATAGGAAATTTCTTCTTGATAAAGTCTTTGCTGGAATTCACACATTTTCTTAAACCTTAGAGCACAGTTAAGTCAAAATGAAAGAATCACATTATTATGTGGTATTATGCATAAAGCCCACCTTTGCAGTCCTGTTTTATTAATAATTCTGATAGCTGTCTTTGAATTCTGAAATATTGTTTGCTTTTCCTCAAAAGAAAAAATCTTGCCATTAAACAAACACTGAGGGGAAACTGTTCAAAACAGCTGTGTATGTTTTATTGCAGCCCATAGCTTGTTCTAGAATTTGTTGTAAAAGGCTAGCAGTCTGGACATTGCAATTCGGAACCTAGCAAAGTCTTCATCCCAGTCAATGGTCTTCCATATTTTTATTTTCTCTTTCCTCTTACTCCTTCTCTCGTCTTGATTCTGCAGCCCAATGAAAATGCTTGAAATAAATTCCTGGAGCAAGTTCCCATTGATCTCAACTTCACTCAGCACAGGGACACACTGAACATCCTGAGCAGAAAGCTTCCCCTGCCACACCACTTTTCCGTTCACTAATTTTTAGCTTATATAAAATGAAAGGACTTGTTGAAGAGATAGAAGTTTTAAAAGCAGGAAAAACAATAGAATTTAGCTAAGGAGCATTATTACATTCCTAATTAATTTTACTAGTTAATTTTCTTAGAGGATTAGGTTTTCAAAGTATACAAAATCAATGCAGGAAAAAAACACCCCTATTATATTGTAGAATGCAACATCCGAAATTCTTGTTTATGCAATATGGCCAAAGAATGTACCACCTTATTCCTCCTTCATACAGCTCTTTAATCAAAGGTTATGTGAAGTCATGTGTATCCTGCAAACTTGAACCAGTTGCTATTGATGATTTATACCAGATTTGAAAGCTAAATGTACAAAAACAGCCAGGCAGGCAAAAGTGTTCATTTCTTTGTACAGTGAAGCAAATACAGTATTGTATTACTACCAGCAGGTGGTGTGATTATATATATCTTAGTAACTCTCATATGCAGTGAAGATCTGTCTGTCTATCTATTTCAAATGTGTTTTTAAATGTAATTATGTACTGCAACATTATAGCTCATTATAATCCTGAACTAGGAACATATTTTGAAAATAAGTGGAGAAAATGAATGCATAAACTTCTTACCTCCATTATTTTCCCTAAAATCTGCATCCAATTTATATGTTTTGCACCTGTGCCTTGAATTTATTTATCTAATTTTATTTCACTTACATGGCCATAAAATTGTTACCTGGCATATGAATATCTCAGTCAATTGCAATATTTTCCTGTACAGTTTCAGGGATTGAATTCCAGTTATTTCAATCACAAAAAATGTAATTTAACAAATATATCAATAGAAATATAGGCCACACTGAATACTGAATTTCAATGATATAACTTAGCAAAAATGTTTCAAACTGTATTCTTGAAGTAATAGCATCTATGAAGCTGTCCCTTTGATGTTTAGTCTATTGGTGAAAACCTATTAAAGGGCTGTAGCCTTTTATGATTTTAGGCAATATTGACAGAGAATTAACAAGGAGACTTTTTTTTTCTTTTAGTGATATTTGAGAAGACCCCATAATTGCAGGCCAGTTCTGTGGTCCAAATACCATATGACAACTGCTGTTGTGTCAGGTGAAATAAAATTAAATAGTAGTAGTAAGAAAGATAGACAGACAGATAGGCATAGATATAGGCATAGGCATGTAGATATAGATAGGTATAGATAATTATAATGATAGAGAAACAGCAACATTTATTTGCTGTAGGAAACTCAGGTTCTATTCACAACTTGATCAACCTCATAGGATGACCATTCCTTGGAAATGACTGTGAAGGAATTTTTGTATTCCACCTTGAGTTCTTGGAAGAAAGGTGGGGTGAAAGTTTAACAAATGATAGATAATACAGGGTCCACTGAAAACCTCCATTTTTAACCACCAATTAAATTGGCATTTTCCAGTTATTCTCAGAATTTAATTATAAAAGAGAAACACCACCTACTAGATTAAATAAAAACAGTGGCCTGATATACAGTATACCGTAATTAACCTGATGTTCATGTTGAATCATAAATCATAATTCTATTTTCTGTATTTAGATTAGAGTATCTAAGATAACTACATATCTGAGGCACAATATTAAGAATGTTTGAGCCTCATAATTGCAGCTGAGCGAAATTATATACAACTCTCCCAGTGGACTCACTGTCATGTAAAATATTTTAATGCTAATTGAATGTTGGCCTAATTTTAACCACTTGACACATATTTGTTATATAATTAAGACAACCTCTGTAGACAATATAAAATTAATTTTTCTTTAACTGCAACTGTAGAACAGAAAATGATTCTAATTAAATATGGAACATTTCAAGCCATAGATTAAAAAACAAGACATATTTTATTTTGGCAAGCTATCAGTTGTTCATTTTAGAATTCTGTCTTAAATTATATTATCTTCTGTCTCTACTACAATGTTCTTAAGTAGCAGGTGTATTCTATTCTTTACGCATTTTATTTTATGTACTCTATTCTTTTGAACATGAGGCTAAACAAACATTGGATGAATCAGACAACGGTGATAAAGAATAGCATTTTTATCCATAAAACCCATCCAAAGTTAGAGAGACCATTCATTTATTTAAAAAAAAATAGCAAGAGAGGGATAGTCAGAAAAGCCAAGAACAGATTTCCTCTGCCAAAGTAGTCTTTCCTGGTCTGCTTCAATAAACCCAAACTTTAGAAAATAGAAGTGCTGAAAATATTAATTGTTCAAAACAAATTCTGAATTTTTCAAAGTCATGCTACAACAGCTTTGAATTAAAGGTTATTCTATTAAGAAAAAAGAAATCAAGAATATAGTATTAAAAAGTTTTTGTTTCCAAGCCATAATTTGTTATTTTACTCTACCAAATATTTTATTACCTTTCCAGGATGTCTCTCGGAGCATTGCCATGCAGATATGTTTTGTTACATAAGTCCAGTGCTTTTTTTCTAAAAAAAAAAAAAAAAAAGGTGCCGGAACTCACACGTCATACAACCCGCCTTGCCTACCCTACAAGGTTCCATCCAAAAAAGGTGCTGGAACTCCGTTCTGGGCGTTCTATGAGAAAAAAAGCCCTTCATAAGTCCTTCTTATTTTAGGTAAGTCATAGTCAAGTAGCTATGCCCAAGGACCACATTCCTGCAAAATGACATCCCAGTCACAAGAAAAGGCTACTTCAAATTCTCTCTCTCCCTCATGTAAATGATTCAGTGGTGGCATTGCCCAGGTTTGGAGGATGAGTTACTATCCACATGTGCATCCTGCAGTGATTACTAATACATATTAGTCAGGCCAAATATACTGGGAGATATGTTCTTGGTCGTTAGAATTGCCATTCTTGACACGCATTCACCTGCTTTACTGCTAAATGATTATGAACATTCTTTTGAATATTACCATTCCATAATTCTGTTATAATGTAGAATTAAATAAATACATGACATCGTTTCTAGGGGAAGGGTTGAAACAGGGACGAAAGGATGTGCTATACACTATTCATTGTAAAGAGACACAGAGTACTATACACTAAAAAGTTCATAGAAAAAGCACATATATAAGGTATGCCCAGTTTGGGCCCCACAGCTCCAAAATGCTTCTTAGAAAATATGACCAAGAGATGGATAATAGTATTAGGCTGAATACATAGAGTAAAATTGCTGGTGTTTTGTGGGAAGGAGA